CAATGACAGATAATAAAACAAGCGATGAATGTGGGGCGCGCTGATGCGGCCAGGCGAATGTAACTCAACTGTAGCCTATAGCCTCCCGCACCCGCACCGCCCAAGCGTTATGCTTTCATCATGTTGAAATTTATACTTAATACCAGTTGTAGTAAAAACTAACCGATTCTATGATTCTATTCGTCGGAGTAATTATTTTAACTAAACTAGACCTCGGGACTGCAATGGTGTACCTACATAATAAGAAACATTTAAGTTGTAATGTTGTACTTTCAACCATTGTTAGATAAAAATAGTTTATCATTTGAAAAAAAATACTTTATGTTTTCACTATGCACAAAAATCTAGAAAATGACTGGATAACGGTGAAGTCATGTTAAACTTTCATTTATTTTTTCACTTTCTATTGGCAAGTGTAAAAAGAATGTTACATACAGTACTACATTGCGTTTAGATACAAATGTTTATTATACATTAAACAAAGTTGCAAGATTCGTAACATGTGCTCATAATACGACGAATGTTGTCGTAAAATCTTTTATTGTATTTCGATATAGTCCAAACACCAACCTGTGTTATAGTCTCAACGTTATTAGTCTTGGCGCTGAGATATTTTTACTTCCCCATTTAATCTTTACTGTCAGTAATTATAACTAAGTCACTTTTTAAAAGCTATAGCAATCAATCCAATCACGAGGTTTTAAGAGTCCCTTCTCAGATATTTTTATTCTATTTCATCATCTACCACAGAAGTGATGCTTAGTCTATTAATGAATAATCACTCACTCAATTTTAAATTACTTTACAGCTTTGCAGCGGGAAAGTCGGACAAAGAGATACTGGACAATCTACTAAAAAACTCCCGCTATGACAAAAGACTGCTGCCACCAGTAGATGGTAAATATACTCATTTCTCTTATAACTTGTAGAAAAATAACTACATAAAACATGTATTACTAAAATTTGTAAATTATCTGTGGGTGCAGGCAAAGGTAATTGGCTGTATTTATGTGTGGTACTAGAATTTGAAATAAATATTGCAGATCCAGACTTTTGTTGTGGTCTGACATCGCCCAATGACAGTCTGACGAATGATAAAGTCGGACTGTCGTCGCTCCGGCCGCGGTCACACAATCGCGGTGTGTTGTGTTTTATGTTTTTGAAAAGAGAAATTCTTCTAGAGTTTACTATCACTGCAACTTTTACTGCACAAATCTCGAATGATACTTGTAAAGAATATTATAGCAACTGTAGTAAGATATCTCGCTTTAGATAATTCCTGCATAATCCACAATCACTTGTCTTTTTCAGCACTATTTGATGTTGTATGTAGACGCACCGTTTTATTATTTTATTTATTACAGTAACTATTTAATAAAAAAAGAAATAACTAAACGTATATTTTAAACGTTTAAATGATGAACTTTTTATAAAATTTATGTTTTTAAGCGCCTTATAAACATGTGATTTTCTCTTTTCATAAACAAAAAACGCAAATAAAAAAATTGCTTTGCAATTACAACTGTCTTTTCACACTTAAAAAAATTGCCGTATCATGAAAGTGCTCGGAATTAGAGCCATTTTTGATCTTGTCGCAATATTATTTTTATTTCTTACTTTCAGTTTGTAATAATCTTCAACAAAGCATGAATAAAAAAATCCTTATCAACGCTAACTGTGATTATTTTTAAAGCCAACTATTCTTTCAACATTTTGTTGCGTTTGATTTTAATTATTCCTTTCTCAAGTCCCTTTGTATTATAATTAAAACATTGATAATGGATAACATCAAATACTACAAAGTCTACCATATTTCTATGATTTTCAGGTGTCCTCACCGTAAATGTTAGCGTGCTACTTCTTAGTTTAGCATCTCCAGACGAATCTAGCCTTGTAAGTTGTTTTTCTTCCCCTAATTCTTTCCGCAGTAATCATTGTTTGCTTAGCTTTGATTGTTTCATGTTTCTATTTGTATTTGTTACTAAGATGTTTGATACTTTCAGAAATACGAGGTTGAATTCCTTCTTCAGCAGCAGTGGTACGATCCTCGACTGCGTTACTCAAATCAATCTCATTACGACTTTTTAAATGCCATCCATCACCATGAGGACATCTGGTTGCCGGACACTTATTTTATAATGCACGGTGATTTTAAGGTCAGAGAACTATAACAGTTATATTACACTATAAATAGTTGATTAGATTAATGTATGTCTGAGAACAATAGTAGTTTAATACGTGCTTATAAATCGATGATATTTTCATAACACGTGTTTGAACATATCATTTTAGTGTTTTATTATATTTCAGGATCCAATAATACCGATGCATTTTGCATTGAGAATTTACCGCAATGGTACAATCAACTATTTAATGCGACGGCATCTTATTTTGTCCTGTCAGGGGCGGCTCAACATATTTCCATTTGATGACCCATTGTGTTCATTTGCTTTAGAAAGTAGTGAGTAAACTTTCATGTTTTTTTATAAATTATTTTTACATGAGATAACAAAATTAGCTGCTAGTAAGCATATTTTAAATGTAAAAATGATAACTAGGCTAAAATACAAGACCTGTAAGTAACTGAATGTCATATAAATAAATAATAAAGAATGTTATTAGCAATAACGCTATTGTATCTTATAATGTTAGAGACTGTATTTAATGTACTCGTAGCCTTAGAATTAGGATTAGAATATTTGAGAAGGTAAAAACATTTAAAATTTATTTATATTGATTATATTTATTTATTTATATTGATATATTCCGACTGAAGATTAAAGAATTTAATTCGTATAATTATGTAACTAAAACGCTACTTACTTGTTTTAAATTTTCTTTTTAATTCCAGTATCGTACGAGCAATCTGCCATTACTTACGTGTGGAAGAATGATGAAGATACTCTACGAAAGTCTCCGTCGCTAACAACTCTCAATGCATATCTTATACAAAACCAAACCATTCCCTGTCCGATTAAGGCGAGCTGGAGAGGTAAAGTACTATTTTTAACTTTAATATTACAGTTGCTTACACAACATTATTTTTTTTTTATTTTTTTTTTTGTTATATCGGAGTACCTTAGAATATTCATCCCATGACCTTTTTTTTTGTTTAAAGCACACACTTATACTTTGCACAAGGAAGGAGAAAAAGGGATCATTTTAACTTAGACATTCTGATTAACTCTTTTCAGCTTGGTCTTGATTTGTGTCACAGGTTGATCTGTTAACTTCATTTGTTTAAGTAGTAACGTGAGAGCTAGTTGTGTGTTAGGCGTTTGACTGTTTAAAGGCTTTACCATAAAGTTTCTTAAGGAATCAGCTAAATGAATTATTTCATCTGCATGGTAGCAAGTTGTCATAGTAATGTTTATCAGTAACACTAGTCTAGTGTCTTGTTGCTATTTAACTGTTTCAAAATAATAATGTAGAATAGAATGTAAGAATCTGTTAACGTCTTTGCAAGCAGCTGACGGTATTTCACTTTACGAGGACGATGAAGAGCTGACATGTAATCTTTGCCAGAGACGCTTTGAGGAGCAAGGTACTTGAATAGCATTGGACAAAACACATTCTGTCCGATGCGGAAATTTTAAAAAAATAATCTATTTCACCGCTTATGTGTGAGTAAATGCGCTGTTGTGTGATTTAAAATTAAATAGCGTAAAACTAAAACTGGCAAGATTATACTTCAGTATGTACCAGTGCTGTTCCATTATTCACTCTCATGGACATTCCAACTTATTTTTAACAAATTATCATCTGTTTTAGTGATTCCTATGCACGATGTTGTGTCATTGCACGTGGTATAGTTTGTCTGTTTGTTTATTGAAAAGTAAAATTGACACTTAGGAGTATGCGCTCGAGAATACTGAAGAAACACAACACGCGTTACTCTTACATACGGAATGTTGATTGATTTACATATCTATTAGTTTTTGTGTAGTTCTTGTATATAGCAATAACTTTCCGTTGTACAAGGCCACTGAACGGAGTTATTTGGAATTAGTTTATATTACTACGTTACATTTTTTTTAATACACAACTAATATTTCTAAATTTAGCAAACTTATAACAACTTTAGCCCATTTTCCAACTTTACGTTAAATTATAACTTCACAGGTAACTACAGCTGTCTAAAGGTGGATCTAATTTTCACCAGAGACCGAGCGTTCTACTTTACCACAGTGTTTATTCCTGGAATAATTCTGGTGACCTCCTCTTTCATCACATTCTGGCTGGAATGGAACGCTGTGCCGGCCCGTTCCATGATAGGTAAAATGGCCGGCGATATCATTGTTCTCGGTCTTGCATATTGCATCTCTACTCTCTGTCTGTCTCTTTCTTTCTGTTTAGATGTGGCTGGGGCTGTAAACATGACACGCTAATACTTTCCTTTTGCAGGTTACCCTTACTATTGACAGTACGTTCACTGTCAACGATCACTCGCAGCGTAGTTTTAGTACATTTTCACTTTCTATTTAGATAATGCTTAATATTTTTAGGTAATTACAGCTGTCTGAAAGTGGATCTCATCTTCACACGAGATAGATCATTTTACTTTACCACAGTTTTCATTCCGGGAATTATTTTGGTGACATCATCCTTTATTACTTTTTGGCTGGAATGGAATGCAGTGCCCGCTAGAGTAATGATAGGTTGGTCTCTTTTTTTGTTGCGCGTTTTTTTTTTGTTTTAATCATCAGAATAGTATCAAATCCATTATTTTCCCTTGGAATTCTTCAACTTTTTATAACGCCCGTAATAATTCCAGCATAACACTATCAACATCTTACTTTCTTTTACGCTTCCTTATTGTTAGTTTTAATATTATTTGTAGATGTATTAATTACAAATATATTGCTTGCATGGATTTAAAATATTTGCAGATTTTAACAAGTTTAATTGGTTCATTATAATCAGGAATCGATCAAAAATGCATAACTTTACGTCTAATAAAAAAAAAACTAAAAATAACTCTGCTATGCCAGTGTTTTTTTTCCTTAAATTTCTCAGTGCTTTTACTAGCTATATTATATTGGGTGAAAAGTTCGGCATTTCTTTGTCATATAACTATAAAATGGTGTTAAAACAATGTTTATCCGGAACACAGGGGTGACCACAATGTTGAACTTTTTCACAACATCCAACGGTTTCCGATCAACGTTGCCCGTCGTGTCAAATCTCACAGCGATGAATGTATGGGATGGAGTTTGTATGTGCTTCATCTACGCATCGCTGCTAGAGTTTGTCTGCGTCAACTACGTAGGCAGGAAAAGGCCCCTGCATAACGTTGTTTATCGACCAGGAGAGAATCCTGTCACCCAGGTAAAATTCCTCGATGTGTTTATTTTATTAATCTGTTATTGCAAAGCACTTTCTAAGCATTAAAAATCCCTTTATAGCTTTAATCTGCAATTGATTAAACTAAATGTGCATATAACTGCTTTAAAATATATCTAAATGTTTTAAATCTTTGTAAATTCTCCATTTCTTTTTTTCCTGTACATTTAAAAATGTAATCTAATATATAAATGTTATATGTTTTTCATGTTGTTTGTTATTCAATTTTTTTGAATAAGACAGCACTTTTTGATGTTGACCAAAAAATATTAAGAATACTTGATGTATTTGCATAATTTTTCTCGGTGGATATTTATTACTTATACTCTTTGCAATGTTTTCTTTCTATCACCAATTAGCATGTAATTCAATTTACTTTTTCACTGAATTTAAAAGCATGATTTCAACTATTTTTAAATGTGCATGATATTTATATTTAACTCTTTCTTGTCACATCAGGAATTATTCGATTTTCATTAGCGAACACATCACTAAAAATCTATGACTATTTGGTGTGGCCATTTTTAATTTTTGTTTATACATTTTTTGTGTTTGAAATAGAAAACATTGCAAAGAATGCGAGTACGAAAAAATTCTAACGTTACATTTGTCGTATCTGGCCACAACAATAGTCTGTGTTCACTGGAGTGCACCGGTACGGTAGAGCATTTGTCACGAGTGAACAAATCGTCTATAATGTGTTCACAGCGACTGCCCGCAGTTCTGAGCAGAATTGGCATTATACTGGCCAGCCCTTTGGTAAGAAACATTCGCCATTCTCATTGGCACCTTCCGGAATTGACACTGTTATATTTCTTATGTTACATGTATACTTTGTATATTTATTATCTGTATAATCGAGCGAATGGATTGGTTGTTAAAAAAATCAATAAATTGTTTTGTTGGTTAGTTAAAAAAAATATTATTTAAATTTACTATTCTAGATTCGGTAGTTTTACGAATTTTTTTCTTTTGGTGTTAAAACGAATGCTACTATAATGGTAAAATATTTAATAAAACTTTATCGGCTATTTAAAAAAGGTTTTTGTTTTTAGACGTCTTCATAAACGTTGTAGTAATGTTGTTCAATCTGAAATGTGTTTTTTAATTCCTTCTTTAAATATATTTTCAGAATTACTATATTTATTAATTTAATAATTAGATCTGATTCTTATGAATATAGAAGAAAAGCACTATCAACATTTAAAGTAAGCATGCTTAGTAGCAATTTATAAAAGTCTAAAGAAAATAATATGTAGTGAAAATATCCGTCGCAGTTATACAGAAATAGTGCACCCCTGAAATAACAATAAAGAAATATAACAGATTTCAGTACTTCAGTACCACATTATTTAAATAACAAGTATTGTATCTAGCATGCTGTAGTTTCGAAAACATGGGAAGTTTTATTAACAAATGCCTTCAAATGGTGAAAAGTTCCAGTCTGTTGTTAGATTTTAAGTAGTGTTTTTTTTACCATTTGCTTTTATCAGCATTGACAAAAATACAATGTAATTGACAAAAATTCCGCCAAAAACAAGTCGTATTTTTGTCTTTGCGAATGTTTAATTTTGTCGTGTTTTTTCCAAATTATTTTTAAAGTAAGTAAATTGGATGTAAGGTATTGCAGTAATTTGTATATCACAAATATGTACTGTCCCACTGAAAGCAAATTTAAGGTAAATAATTCAATTTTATGATTATTCAAATCATAAAAAAAAAGAAACAAACCAATTAAAATTATATTCATTTAAATAATTTCGTATGATAATACGTAACTTCCCCGCCCTAGTTTTGCAGTTGGACAATACAAAGTATACCCAATTTAGATATTTTTGCCAATCACAAGCAGTTTAAGAAAATTTTGAACTAATTTGTACAGTATTCCCACATTTCTATCTAAACTTGCTAAAACATTGTATTAATTTTTCCTGTACCCCTATTGCATACGTTGCATGTTTAGTTCAGTACATTATATCAAACGCTACATCATTATATACGTCACTTCTAATAACGCAGAGAGTTCTAGAAGAAAACAATAATGATTAAATATAATTATTTTAAAACATTCGGAGAACCTCATAGTGGCATTACTGTACAACTTTTTTTATTATAGTGGTAGTTTAAAATAGATTTTCAGCTTTAGCTTTAACTACGGTTTTTAAAAAAGGCAGGCAAATTAAAACGCAAGCATACTTCTGCGTATTTGTCGTCCCCAAAAGAGAAATGCGAAATAAAAATTAAGGAGTTAGTTTTACTTACTATGGATTGAAGAGCTTAAGTCGTAACTCAGCGAAGCTTCTGCAGATCACGATAATGATAAGAAAGTTGAGCTTCGCGATATTATAGTAATATTTTCATTGACTAGGAGGCGATGGCATTCCTCCATTGGGCAAAGTCCGATCCGCCCGAGCCGGAGCCCGGCGGCGCTGTAAGTGACGTCACTGTCTCTGACCACTCGCCCCGAGCATTAGCCAACTGCATTCCATCTTTGTTCTGTATCACAATAAACTAACGAATCATTTTCATTTCAATGCCTCTTCGGATCGTCACAGCCTGTAAGTAGCACATGTTTCCACTACCATTAGACTATAAATGAATTTATAAGTACAATTGAATTCTACAAAAATATCTAAATTTTGACATTACCATAGAATAGTTCATTTCTTCCATTATAGAATTCACTGGATTTTTTATTAACGGTAGAAAAGTTAATTTTACTGTAGCCATTATCTCAGGGTGACAAAAAGCGTGAGTCGACGGGCGCTGCCGATCTCGTGTCTTGCGCGACGTGCGCGGGCCCGCCCGGTTCCTGTACGCACACCGCCAACAACGGCGGAGTGGCCGAGGTAAGAATACCACCTATTCAGTTATCACTCGAACGACACTCACACCCACATAAAACCGCTTTAGTCACAAATAAACTTTTTATTTCTCAACTCATCGGCTTCTTACAACGAAATTCAGTTCTACACTCCAGTAAATATTACCGTGAATTCAGATTACACAACTCACACGAATATTAGTTTCGTTATTTCGTAGATTGTTATTCCATAGGATGTATTTTTTGTTTCGCGGCCATCATTCATTTGCAAATTAATTTCTTTCAGCCATGTTTCGTCCAGGTCCGCAAAAAAGAGCCTCCTCACCCGATCCGCGTAGCGAAGACCATCGATGTGATCGCTCGCATCACCTTCCCCACTGCGTACGCGGTCTTTCTTATCTTCTTCTTCATTCACTACAAAGCCTTCTCTTAATGCCGCCTTTTCCGCTACCCGCTGCAAATTGCTTTTATAAAGTGGACAATTTTTAGTCTCTACATATTTTGTATTCCTTACTTTCGTCACGGCTACGTAAGTACGAAGAGAAGCTAAACCACACGCGATACCTAACGAGATATTTTTGATGAATTTCAATATTAAATAAGAAATTGTGATTGACATTGTTTAAGATATTTAAGTCAATAATATAGTTTTAAGTGAATATAAATTAGTGCAAAAGACTACAGTTGCAGCTTAAAGTTGATGGATATGATAATGCCTGAGATTTTTCTACGAGTTTTGAAATAGGTTTTAAAATGTTCTTATCGATGGACGTTAGAGAAAAACGTGACGATGAATACTTAAATACAATATAAGAGAGACTAAAGAGGGATCAAACACAAAGAAATTTATTCTCAATTACGTTGTGATGAATTAGACAAGGATAGAACATTAAGGTCGGAATGCGATAAAACCGACATCGTAAATAACATTTAAAAATAAATCTATTTCAAATCTTAAAACAGTCCAATTATTATGAAAAATCTCTCATGCTCATAGATCATAGAATAAGAGTAGAAATACGTTATAAATTTTATATGCCATAGACAAATCACTTTAGATATGTAGATCATTCATTCTATTATAATCACGTTCGTTGTGATCTATTGTTTCGTGTATTATTTAAAAGTTGCTTTATAGAAGTGAAGCTATATTAAAGAATGTATTCAATTAGATGTAGATTATAAAGCTCAAAATGTAATTATATCTGTAAAGTCTGATATACTTCAAATAGGACACTGAATTGTTAAATGTTGCCACCCAAATCACTTGTTGCCGTTTTGTTTTGTTTAATCCATAAATATCTGCGATCCGAGCGTCATTTGTTACCAAATCCCAAGTAGTTAATAATAATGTCCAGCATTCACATCTAGCATTCACATCTAGCAGAAATCAATGAAATTTTTTATTCAGGGAAAAGTGTCATGAATGGGGGCACCATATTGGGGTGTGTATGTGAAACCAATTTAACTGCCAACAGATACCTAATGTCCTGATATTAACTGTAGGTATTGTAGATGTAAGGGCCTTTCAAATATGTATAAAGAAAATGTTTTGGCATAAAATATAACTCTCTTGTATTCACTTAGTACTTCAATTTGAAAAAATATATTTTAGAGGTTGGATTTTTACTTTTATTCATTTATAAAATAATGATTGGTTTCAAAAATAAAATTCTAATAACACGAATACTTTTTTACAAAAGGACATATTTAATTGTAAATGGCAACCCTACAGAAATATAAAATACTATACCTTCAGCAAAGACGTGTATATTATTATTGTATTTTTTAATTTCGCTCATTAGTGAATATTCCCAGAATAAAAAGGCTTTGTCTTTTTGTTGTAAGAAATATACCTTAAAACAGTGTTACCGTTTAAATGTTTTTTTATTGATTTAATCAAATATTTTACACGTTGCTTTAATTTTAGTTCGATTGATTTTATTAGCTCCTTATAATTTATAGAAATGTTAGCAAATAAAACATAGTGTTCAAAGCATTTGGAATTGCCGGTAAAGATTGTAAAATGATTTTGTTAAGAATAATACTTAGAACTGCGACGATCACATACAATGGTCATAAATCTGAGTATAGATAAGTACATAACATAAAGATAATAGAAAGAGCCAGAAATGTACAAGTTTTTTAACAATTTCATGATAGCAACCAAACTTTATATCGGTTTGCAACATCGGACGAAACTCTGCGCAAATCACACTACAAGTGTTTTCCTCCAGCTTAGCGCCTACGCAGACAAGCGCTCTCAGCTAACGACGAAATAAAGTTTGTGTCTAGTAATTGTAGTAAGTATTTTAATTAACATCAATGAAATAAAAATTGTGAAGTATTTTCTCATAAAAGGCATGTGATGAATTGTGGTAAGTGTTTGTTATTCCGAGAAAGCAATTCAATATGGGCAATTAGCCCATAATGCTGCCTTGTTATAACTATATATATCGTCATGTATTTGTAATCCATATAAAACCATCGACTTATGCCTTTTGCTTAATACGCGGACCAAGGTGTCAACTGTTTCGAAAAGTAATTATATTTAAATATAAATGTAAAGTATAGTTAATTGTATTGTATAAGAATACAACACGTCTTGGCTGTGCTTTGAACATAAATTGTATACTTTATATATCGTGATTATGTGTACCAATGATTTTATTGTGTTAAGTGATTTATGTGTACCTAATATACCGCTTTAAACTAAGTGAAATGTATTTGTATGCTTAGCTTTTTGTACGATTAAAATCCATAATGATTTTAAGTACATTAAATTAGAGAATACTCTTTTGTAATAGAGAATTAAACATTTCCCTTTGCGTGAAAGTGAAAAGAACATTGCAAAATTAAATGTAACTGAAAATTATATTCTAAAATTGTAACTATTTTGTGTACAAAGAAAATCCGTATCGATGACAAATTAATATTATTAAGTACAAAGTTAATACAAATCCATTGCCTCATGTTATTAAACAATTTAAAAGCTATTTTAGATTTATTTTACAGTTTTAATGTCAGAAAAAATGAAATCTAGACGAGCGAAGCTCCATCGCCAAATAATAAAGATTTTATTTATTGAAAAGTAATTCAATCTTATGTTTAATTATCCATGTTGAGAATGTTTTTCAAAGTTTATTATATGTTACCTTTAATAGAATAGAAATCATTCCCTTATGTTATAAAAGTGATAATATACTTTAATCGATGTTGTTTTATATTATCTATGTATTCGAATGTAAGATTATAAACATATCATTCGCTTTATAAGAAATAAATAACTAAATTATTGCTATTATCTGTTGAATTTTTCTTAGATATATTTAATTTCTATATCGAATTGTTATTCTAGTTAAAATATACATTGATACATCATAAATACCTCTTTAACGACATAAAATTATCTCAAAATTAAAAAAAAACACGTTATTATTTTGTACTATTCTTAAAACTTCGTGTTAATAATGATCAAAACTGTATTTGCAAAACAAAGGACGCAAAAGATCCTAACTTTTAAATAGACAATTAAATAGTCATAATATAGTCGGATTGTTATTCAATTTTGTTAAAATAAATACGTATGTTACATGGAATTCATAAGCTAATTTTATTACATAATTGTTTGAATATTAAAAATTGCCTTAAAATAAATTTTATATAGTGTTCATAATATAAGTATTTAGAAATTTATGTAATTATTTTATTTGGCGTAATAAGCGATAAGATATACGTATATTGTAACTTTTTGTTATTATAAAATTTAAACCTATTCAAAACACTTGTAAGGTTAGTTGTGTGAGGGACACAAGCGTAATTTTTGTACCAAATTTGTTTGGCTGTCCGTCCCGTTGTAAATAATAATAATTGAGTATTCCTTAAAATTATAATAGATTGTTTAAATTCCTGCATAAGCTGATTAATCAAGAGCAAAATTGTAAAGCTGTAAGGCGATTTTTTTCTTTAACACAAAATTATTTACTAATTCCGACTTACTGCCGCACGCAGAGTTGCACTCACTGAGATTCATTCAGAAAGTACCTTAGAGTAGATTTTGAATGAGAAATCTACACTAAGCCACAGTTTAGGTAATAGTTTATAATAAAAACTATTATGTAACTGGATCTTATTTAGTTCATGTTAATAAAATAGAAAACCATTTGTTTAACTTGGTATTGATTTGAATATATATTGAGCTTTTGGTTTCCTTAAAATTGATTTTCAAAACATAGTAACATAATGTACAAAACAAAATTTAATGTCAAAATTATTGTTCATTAACATTCCCTTCGGATATGTATTTTGAATCCGATAAAACAGTATTATATGAAATCTAAAAACCCGTGTATTTGCGCATATTTGGTATCTCCATCTCAGCAAAAACTTCATTGACATAGCCAAAATATATAGTAAAACTTAAATAAAATCCTATGCCTCGGCTTGTTACTATTTAAAGCCGTTCGTAACATTACACGCGTAGTTTAATGCACTCGCGTTTGCTCTTGTTTTCAGTATATCTCATGTTATTGTGCACGAGTAGTGTTCATATGAATAAAATGATTTAGTGACCATTATTATAATTTATAGCATAAGTAAACATAAGTACATTAAGCATTGTTTAGATAAAACTTGAAAAGACATTAGTGAGATAATATACACGCAGTAAATCCTCGGAATTATTACATTTTTGTTTGCGTTAACTTTGAGATTATATTTTTTTTGTGGTTATATAATTTTATCAGTACATTTTTAGAATGCCTCGATGAAGATTCGAATCTACATGTTTATTTTTTATATAGTTCTGAAAATTATGACTTTCTGTCAGCTTTACATATAACATGAAAAACAAGTGTTACTCTAGTATTTTAAACTAGTCTGTATAATTTTTTATATAAATATTATAGTAAAGCAACGTAATGTTATTGGTAATTGAGCTAGAAAGCGACAAGTGAAGCTTGCGATATGTAAAAAATCATGAAGTTTGAAGTAGTTAAAAAAATATTATTCATAAAATTCAATATGTTAAAGTATAGTGGAAAACAGTCATGTTAAATTAATCCACATTGATATGCCTAAGCAATTTAGTTTCCAGTGGTATAAGTAAAATGGGTGCAATGAGAATATATTTAAAAGTAGTATGTTTTTAATTTTTTTGGCACGCGTCGCAACTGTATATAAAATTAATAGGTAATGCGATCAAAGGTTTATATTGTGGCATTGTAAATATTTTTATTGTAAAATTTATTAATTACAATTTTCAAATAATACACAAATTCTAACCATATGACGTTTCTTTTATTGAGCCTTAATAGTTAATAAAAGTTCTATACAATACATTATTAATATGAAGTTAAATGATGTATAAAAATATATAGATGGAAGTCCACAAGTTAAAAACTTTTCTAGTAAAAGGATGTTAATTGAAATTTTGGGTAACTTGACACATAAATTAATTCCGCTGATGAGTGTGGTGCCGAAGGCCTAATTAAAGTCCCTTTGTCTTACCACCTTTTTCTTATAAGGAAAGGATGGGAAGGGAAAACGTATTTGACGGCGGAGGAGAGACATAGGAAGAGGAAATATCCTCTTTATGTGCGTCTCCTCTTCCGTCCATTAAGGGTAGGCAACGCATCTGCAATTGCAGATGTCTATAACCAGCGGTCGCTTCGCCATTTTGGCGGATTCAGGTGGTCGCTTGCTCGTTTGTCACCTTATATTAAAAAAAATCATGTACAGACTAAAAAAACATTTAATTGAGACTTGGTTTCACTGAAGTAAACACATTAATGGTTTGTGGTCATTTATTAATTTATGTCATCGTTATTTGGCTTAATAGACTCGTAACCAGTCTATTTCCTTAAAAAAAATCAATGTCATTTTGACATTTACTTTGACGGCTTTATTAATTCTATAATTTCAAATTGCAAATTGCAATATACTTTAGCTTCAATATTTATTGCAACGGATTTCGAATATATACTCTAAAAACACAAAGGCATGTTATATAGTAGCTACAGAAATGATATTTTTAAATCTATGGTCGATATTAGAATGGTATCTGAGGCCTTTCATCAAATGGTTCTTTCGTAAAACGACGCGTTTGTGTGAATTACAACGAATTTGTTATGGAGATAAATCTGGAGCTGCAAGAACGTGCAATATTGAGAAGTCTTTAATGCTTTCACGAACACAAAATGTAAAAGAAGTAATTTCTTATTTGGATTCCACAGTTTTGGAGAAGACTTTCGTTCCAGCCAACTTTCGAGATATTTTAGACCCGTCCATATCAATTATATTGAGAGTCAAAAAAATCAACCCGAAGCTTCATACATCGTTTGTCACCTCTTTTAGACGGTGTTTAGAGCAAATTTGGAGTTACAGAAGTCTATTAGATGATGTGGAGGATCTTCGAACAGTTCAATTTGATAGTAATAATGAATTGCATGAAGAAAAGCTGTTAAAATTGTGGTCCCTTTTGGTGCCTGATACACCACTGGAGAGTAGAGTTACTAAACAATGGCAACATATAGGATTTCAGGTTAGTTATTTGCTTAACTCACATACTATTAATAACTCACATACTTTACAGCTGATGATTGTTTTTACCTTTTTTTTCAGGGTGATGATCCCAAGACTGATTTTCGAGGAATGGGAATGTTAGGACTTGAAAATCTTCTATTTTTTGCTACAGAGTATCAGGAAATATCAAGTCATGTGTTAAGTCATTCACTTCATCCAACATATGGCTATACTTTTGCAATTGTTGGTATTAATATAACTTCAATGGCTTACTATCTATTAAAAGATGGTTCTGCAAAGACATACATGTTTAATGAAAAGCGATGTTTACCAAGCATACATTTATTTCACAAGTTTTATTGTTATTTATTTTATGAATTTGATAAGATGTGGATTGAATCTAAACCAGAAAATATTATGGAATTTTCAATGATTTTTAAGAAATTTGAAATTGCAGTTCGCAGTGAATTGGCCGACCCTGCATCTGTTTTTAGAATAAAAGTAGAAGTTGACACTATATAATTATTTAGTCTAGTCTTATTTATTATTTGCATTTAAAATTTTAGTAAAATTTACATGTGACACTGAGTCCAAGGAATATTAATCCTTAAACTCTGTGGACAAGCTCTTTCTTTTAGTGATAGTGTGCAAAAACATGACTCTTTTACATAATTATATTACAAGACAAAACTATTTATTACAAATGAATATTGAGTGGGAAGCTTGCTTTTCTGAAATATTTCACAGCAATTCATATTTTCTCTACTTAGGAAATATTTTTACTGTTACTACTTCCCAGACTAATTGAAATTTATTTCACTTGTTTTATTTTTATTGTACACACACAGTCTAAGCAATAACTGAAGATTATATTGTAAATATTTTTTTTAAGCACAATTATATAGATTTTCAATAATTTACGGCTTATGAGAATGCACAATGGATTTTGAAATATACACTTAAAACATCGTTTTTTATTTTATTTTAGATCAATAAACCCAACCTACAAAGAAGCCGTCCATTGTAAATTGGTTTATATTTCAACAAGTAAAAAAAAAACAAATTCTCTATTAAAAATCTAACTCAATGGACCTACATGAGCTATTTTAGAAATGCTAAGGAATTAAAACAAAATTATTTAGATTGAAGCTAAGCAAGTGAAATCACAAAATTTTACCTTTGAATTATGACCATGTTTTGTTACTTTGTGTTTTTATAAAAACACACATTCTATAGTAATAACTCAATATAAATCTTTATAACCTCCTGTAGTAAATGTTCTTAGTGAAAATTATTTTAAAAATAGGGAAAAAAATGAATATTGTACATATTTTATTTTCGTATAAAATTACAAAATATATAATTCATATTCAAAACCAAAGCACCAGTGACAGAGTCATTTAAAAAGCTAGGACGGATCTCTTATACAAATTAAAAATTACCACAAATAAAGGAATGCATCTTAATTTTTGTTTCCTATTGTTAAAGTAAATCAGAGAGATCAATAGGAATTATTGCTTTTACAGCTAAAAATTGTGAATAACAAATCAAGCGATTTTATTTACTCTTTTTATCTTTTTTAACTTCTTTTGGCTTTGGTTTTCTGGCCTTTACTAGAGCTATCAATGCAGTAATAGCAACTAAGCCAAATCCTGCTAATCCAATTTGCCATATCCATGGGTATTTTGTTAATATATCCAATCCAAAAGCAATGCTGAATTTCAGCATATCAACTGACCAATCCACAACTTCATCACTGTAACAAAGATTAATACATAAGAAACTGTGTTAGAGGGATTGCCTTATAGGCATACAATTTACTTTAGTTTTATTATAGTAATAAGCAACAATCAATCAAGTGTCCACCAGAAATTTGGCAAAAAAGGGAAGCGGCCACTGTAAATAGACATAATCAACAGAGGTGATGCACGGAATGAGATATCATCCTTCATATAAATACCCTCATGTCAAATCCACTTATCTATACTTACAAAGGTGATGCAAGAAGAGGGACTACTTCAGCTTTAGCATTTTTGTACCAATCTTGTGCAAATGAAACAAATGATTTGACATCATTCTTTGGTAAGTCATATCTGTAGACTTTTCCTAATCGGAAGCTGCAACAAAAACAGTCCCAATATAGCAAAGTACTCAATGGTTATTGGTATACTCAATTTTGAAATTTTAATTAATATTAACACATCACAAAATTTAACACACAAAAGTATACACCAGCTGGCTGATGTGTAGTACTTTACATACTAATGTTACAATATAAAAAATTCACGAATTTTCGAAATGAGATATATAATTCATTTTTGATTCTGAAGTTATATACTATTGGTACTTATATGCAGTGAGTTACATAAAATACATAATACTCAAACTTACAATAAGAATGATGGTAACTTAGATATCTTAAACCGTTTTGCTGTATTCAAACCTGCCAAGTTGGCATCAACACGCGCAACATTTATACGGTTACGCAGAGTGGCGCCCACACTCTCCCATACTGCATGCAACCTTTGACACTCCACACATGATGCACCATAGCTGAAATAAAAAATGATTTACAACAAAAAACAGATTTCAGATTGTTATGAAACATGTGACAAATATTTTATTTCTTTATACAGAGTTGTGTTTTAATTATTAGTAAAAAACTGATGAAGTTAAAAAAATGTATGTTATTTCATTTCAGTTCAGTTTTTTAACTTACATACATGTATGTAAATCTGCCAAGAAACCACAGAAAGCCTGATGTGTATGGGAATGGAAAGGAATAAGGTAAAGGGTTACAAATTGTAGAAGAAATGTAGCAAAAGGTTCTCCTCAAATTGAACCATTTTAAAAGCAGCCTTTAAGAAAATAGTTTGGGAACAACCGTAATAATTGCAGCTATAAAAGCCACATAAGGCCGTTAAAGTTTAAGAAGTAAAAAAACTTGACTTACAACATAACAAACCAATCTCCAGTTGTTGCTCCAGTAGCTGCTTGAGTCATGTGCTCAAATATTTTATCTGTAAGCTCCTTGACAGCTGGAGACTGATTTTTTTCAAAGAATCCATACAATTCACTTTCTTCTGGTTCTCCTGTAATATATTAAAAAATATACATACTTCATCAGAGGACCCATATAATATTATATACATCACCACACGTATTACAAAAGTATTTTTTTTAGTATTAAACTATTGCTTACCACTGTATAACAAAGGAACACCATGTCTAAAGAATACTACAGCAGGCTCTTTACTAGGACTGTACAAACGAACTAAATGACTATTTTCTGTCTTCACTGTAAATGCTTCGAGGTGCTTTTTAAAATCCACATTTAAACTATCTAACAGCTGTTCAAACTTATCACATGAGGGACAATTTGCCTTAGCTGAAAGAAAAAATAGAACTTTGTGAGTTTTAGACTATATTACATGCTGAAATTGTATAAAGTAAAAATTAAAGAGAAAGACTGAATATTTACACTGAAGGTTAGTAATAAGAAGGTAACTAATAAGAAATACAAGTTGTTATAGAGAATCCGTGTGTTATAGACAGCCGTGGTCGTTGGATAAGGTTAGCTTTTGCATCGGCCACTTAAAATCGGTTGAAAATAACATTTCTTGTACTTACAGAATAAGACAATAAGCTTCTCTTTTTCTTTGATAAACGATAGCAACTCTTCGTCGCTTACATTCTGTAAATCGGCATAAACAGACCAAGTGCACACAAGGAGTATGAATAAAAATTTTAATGCCATCTTGAACTCCTGCTTATGTTAAATGCCCTTAATAACCTTAATACTTATTACTTAGTATAAACATGATAAAACTGGACAGAGATAAAGAAATAAAGCGAGAATGCACTACAAAATAAACTTTCTATCAAATTACAGACGTGAATAAATTTGAAGACGACAGTGACAGCTGTTCTGATGACATCCAAAGAGTTTATAAAATGATATTGACACATTTTAACTATGTCAAAGTCAAAATTAAGTCGAATAGGTCGAGATCGAGACGAACAAAACCAACGTTAAATTCTTTCGAGTCATGGTATGGTCGATTTTCTCCGAACGCTTAAAATACATGTACATTTAACGATGATGTGATTTTAACGCGTTTCTGCTAATTCTTTCTCTCATGCCACATCTTATTATGAGTAGCTCATACTAACAATATCAATTTCGTATCAATAATAATAAAATTGGAAATTCTAGTCACTATTTTGCTTAATTTATTTTAAACTTATGTTATGTTGCTGTTTGTGTGGATTATATTTATTCGACAGCAATAATGCAACGAAAAAAGAAATCGAAATTAACTACGTAGTCGATTTGACACAAAAATCGACTAAAAACTTCATTATGACATTTTACATGGTCTTGTTTTCTTCTTATTAGTTTCTCATAATTCTGTGGATAATCTGTGACTACCTGAATCAATTTGATTAGATTTTTATAATTTGTGGCAGGTTGGTGTTTGATTTATTTATGAAAGTTGTTTACCTTTTCTTGTTACCTTGTTGTACCTATTCGTTTAACTTATTTCTATATTGGTAAGTGCATATTCAAAATAATGTGTAAAGTAACATGCTCTAGGGATTGTTAGATATATAAAAATCACTTTCTGAGGCTCAACAATTATAGTGTAGATTGTTATTCAGTAAAAGCGTTAAAATCTTTCGATTCGACTGTAGTTATAAATGTTATAACAGTGTCGCAAGTGTATATTAATAAAGTAATACAAAGTCAGCAAAATAAAAAAGCAAGGGCATCTGTGACTCATTCTATTCAAACAGGAATTAGTGACTGATAAATGACGTGATTGTTTTAGTTAAAACATTGGCTGTTGAAATTGAATTATAAAAATGGAAAACACAGAAGAAAAAGTGATAATGACACCAAAATGTAAAACACCTACATCCACCACAATAGTTGTGGAAAGAAAGGTGGTTGATGCAGCACCTAGTGAGAAAATACACGTTGCTGGTGGTGATCATACTGGTATCATAATAAACAAGGAAAAAGTATATGGTAAGTACAATCTTGACATGGTATTCTGTAATTCTATAGATTTATGGATCACATATAAACCTTTTCTCATTACTCCCTTCATCACCATGTCACCTTTCATGGAATCCATCCATCTAGACTTGTAGTAATTTATTATGAAGTAAAAATAGCTATTTATTAATTATTCATATAATTTCAGAGAATGGAGTAACAGAACCATGTCATGCGCAGTTGGAGTTCTGTGTCTATTTAGTGTCAGCAGCAACAGGTTCACATACAAGAGAGGCTAGAGCCCTGAGGTTCTGGTTCAAACCTGAAGTACCACGAGAGGATTGTCCCCATGAAGCACAGAGCTTTTTCCGTGAACTTGTTAGTCCACAAGATTTTCCAAAGGGTAATTAAATTATAGAAAATCTTATTTTAATTGTATCAAGGAAGGAATGTAGTAATTTAATTGCATAGATTGATTGATTTAAATTCTGATGTTTTTTAACTGAATGTGACCATGGATTTGACTGTTTATTAATAAATTATGTGTGATAAAATTTTATTTTTTTCATCAATAGGGTTCTTGTTAAATGTTACTGTATAAGGGTGTATATTGTGCTGATACAAATATTGGTTTCAGATTATGTTGGTTTCATCAAAAAAATAATGAAATTAATGCAACATAAATATCATCAGCTTAAAATATTGGAAGTTGAACTGAGACAAGAGGTTTGCGGATCACCACCTCAAGGTAGGTACAGAATTTATAATTCTGTCAGTTTTTTTTTAATACAAAGGTTCAATGACTTAATTCTTTTATTAGCCTTTAAAGTCCTTGTTATGCTATACAATGACATTATAAAAAGGTTAAAATCTTTAAGATATTAAAGTATCTTTATTAAATAAATATTTTATTACTGTCTGTCACTAATATATATTTTTTACATATTTATTTATCTGTAAAATGTTATGTTTTATTACAATAATTTTATCGTTAAATTTGATGACAGAATCAAATGGCGTTATTTCCAGTAAAGGGCTTATATACAAGTATTCTAATGGATGTATGTATGGTAACACCTATATAGAGCATGTAGTTTGTTCATTGTTGACATTTATACCTTTCACTTTGTTTGTATTATATTTTAATTTGCACATATTAACTTTATATGTTCCAATTATTTTATGTTTTTTACTAATAAACATATCCTTATTTTTACTGATATAACTTTAAAAATATTGAAGTTTTTACATGCCAGCATGATTGAAATAAAATTAACAATGTTTTTTTAATTTAATACTTATCAGCCTAAAACATTTTGTTTTTTATGATTTCCAAGTCTTATACGCATTTAAGAATTTAATAAGAGCTTGTATGTAAGCTTATTTTTGAATTTGAGAGAATGTCTTGTTTATATCGGATTTCACTATTAAAAACTTTAACAATGTTAGTTCTCAAATTAAAAGCATAATTACTATAAATAACTTTAGGATTGGCATATCACACGAGGACTAGGCATTCTGACTGAATAGGCAATTCATTGAAATATTTTTTTAATATAGTTTTGAAGTAATATGTAGCCATACATTTAAAAAATAATGTACATTCATTTGTTGGCACACACAATGTTTGAATCATCTTAAAAATTTTAAATTAACTTGCTTTAATAAATATGTACAATAAATTATTTTGTCATGGGAATATTTTCGATATAATTGTTAAGATTGTATGCCACGACATTGTACATATAATAAGTATGTGTATGCTAGATTTTTAAATTATACATAAGAGAATAGCGATTTAAAGGTCATTTTCACTAGTCAAAAGTAATATTTAGCTAGATTTCATTTCATCTAGAATTAATTATAGATAGAGAATAGCCGAAATGTATAAATGTAAAATTAGAGCACCAATTATTGCTAAGAATAATATGAGAATCACAAATATAGATGCATGCTTAGTAAAAAAAATGATTAAATAGGTAATTTAATTAAGTTAATGTTCCAGCTTTCATTGAAGATAGTGTTTTAAATCAAACACAATTTATATCAGAGCAAAGAGTGTTGGATATGATTGAGAATGCATACCCCAATCCATTGACTGTGGACGATTTTGTTACGTAAGTTATAATCAATACATTTTTAATTAAATTATTTAGGACTAAACTTGATAATCTATTCTGAATTATAACAAATTTCACACATTGCTAATTTAAAAATGTAAAATAAAAAATCTGTGCAATACAATTCCTTTTTAATTGGTTTTAACTAATTTAATTTATATAGAAAAAAAATTGAAAACTGTATTCATTACTTAAAAGGGTGTTGGTTATTTTCCATGTAATAAATAATGTCTGTAAGAATGTACATTAAATATTTTATTGTTTCAGTGTTGGAAAATGGTCAAAAGCGGATGTAAAAGATGCATTAGAGGCTTTGGAAGAAAAGGGTCTGACCAGAGCTATGTCGGAAGGTCTATACATACGACAACATAGTATTGACACACAGGTAAAGTAATATGTATATACTCATCTATACTTCTATACTATATAATAAGAAAAGATTTGTATTTTTATATGTATTGAAATAACACAAAAACTGATTTCAAATATTCTTTCACCATTATAAAGCAGTTATCACTGAGTAACATAGGCTATATTTTTTGTTATTGTTTAATTTCACGCGGGAGATGTGGCGGGCGTAAGCTAGTATAATATCAATTTAACTTTCCCATGTGAATTTTTTAATGGAAATTGTCTGCTTAGCTATAAAATTCCTAGTCATGGCATAGTTAACCCATGACCCTTGAATTAATGAGAGTTTGTCTTGTTAATTCATTAATCTTAATTCCTTTAATGGAATAGACGTAATGGTCACTGTTAATACTGCGCCTGTTTAGTTCTATTGTAATATTTATTCCTAAATCACTAGAATAAAATAATACTTATCGGCAAAGATTGTGCAAATTTACTCACAACTTAAATTGATTTTTGCTGGTACAGAAAAATATTTAACTTTTTTACCTAGAAGTCTTGTCATGAAGTGCTAGAGATATTGAGTAAAAAATTAGCAAGGCATGTTATAATTAGTTATGAGTGTGGATGTACAGCAGTAGATATAAGCATAGATTTAAGAAGATATGGATTATGTGAAAGGTGGCATGATCAAGAAAGTAGTGACAAGGTGATGGATGATAGATTGTAATGGAGGACTAAAATTTAGCTAGCCCTATGTAAGTGTGATAAGGACATTGAGATGATGATGATGATGATCAATTGTACTATTTTTGACCGACTTCTCAAAACGAGGTTATCAATTTAGCTGTATACAGTGTGATGGAAGTTGTAAATTGTAATTATTGTGTATAGGTAGTGAAACAGATGCCCACGCTAAGTTCGTCGCGTCAGCCAAGCATCGCCATCATCACTGCATTGTACTGCGAGAAGCAAGCCGTTGATGCAATGATGGATAACCAAGAGACATATGTCCGTTATACTACTGTTGGTGAGTACAACCAGAATTTATAATAGTATTATACTTTTTAATATTTTAGGCTTTATGAAATCATGTTCTTTGAATTGATAGCTTCAAAGTTAGAAAATGATAGAACTCTTTAATTTTACCATCGCATCCTATAAATAGAAAAAAATTGTTAGTAACGTCCAAAACCCTTGTAATGAATCCAGATTGTTCTTCATTACAACACACTAAAGCAGCAGTCTGTTATATAATAGTGACATATTACTAATGACAACATATTAATAATCGCAATAGCAAATATCTCATAAGGCTAAAAAAGTTCATTAAACATAATTTTCTTTTAACTTCCATATATGCAGTTTCTGAGTATAATTGGGTGTGGATATTTTAAATATTTTCTCTTCTGATAGTCTGTATTATTTCTCACGCTATCTTGTTAATTTTATAAATATGCTATATTGTATGGATGGATGCATGTTTGTTAGATGTATGGATATTTCCAGAAAAGATCTGTGCAATGTCATTTAGCTAAAGAACAATATCGACAAGAACCCATAGGCTACTACACTTTTTTTTTTAATTATGCGCGGATGAAGCGTATAAAATATAATTAATAAAAAAAAACAATTGATTATTGATAAATGTTTATTTAATATGAAATAAATAATTAGTCACAATAATTTAAATAGTGATGTTTATAAACACTAGCTAAATTGTTACTACAACATAACACAAGAAAAAACAAAAATAGCTGCACAAATATTCCACTAAATAATACTTAAATTAAAATAAGCTGTAAGCTTTACTTGCAATCGGAATAAAGTTTCTTAAATGCATAAATAAAAATAAAAATTGTATTTACTGATGGTGGGATAAACAAAATCTTAATACTACCTTTCTTATCCAAATAAATAACAATTAAATGGGAATAATAAAAGGTAAATCAACAATGTAGTACAATTACAGAGTGTAATTAATTAAAAAATAAATGCATAATACTATTTCCTATACATAGTCACAAAATAAAAGATAAATAATTTATTATGGCCAGCATTAAAACTGAAAAAATAAAGAAGAAATTTTGTCTCATTATTTAACCAACATTAAATAATGTAGAAAATATGTCAAATATAAAAAAAAAACTTTAAAACACTTTGAAGAATACACATTGTTTACAAAGGTTTACAGGAGCTATAGAGAAAAATTATTAAACACAAGTATAATGAATTGTGTACTTTGAGTACTTATTTTTAAGTAGATATTTACTATGTCTGGTTTTCATGCAAACTTAAATTCTAAATCTTCAACTTTAGCAACATCACCACTCAATGACAAGAATCTTATATCATCTATGTTATGTTTTAATATAATTTGTTCCAAATATGATTCACCAACATAAATTTCTAATATGTGTCCACTTTGATAGCTTCCACTTACTCTTAGGGAGAAGCCAAATTTGAAGCTCAAGTCTGAAATATACAAAAAAAAAATTAGGCAATATAATGTATTTAAAGAACACCAAATATCATTAATTTCCTTTTTTAAAATAGTGTTTTAATATGTTGTCACCAACTCGCTTAACAATTTCAATTTCATACAAGTTGTAGTGGCATAAACACCATTAGATTACATTAAAATCATTTGTTATGGCAAATATTATAATTTATCTATTAACTTAGATGTCTTTACATACCTGTGAATAATTCTGTAGCAAGAAATGATTGATAATCTCCAGGGATTGTTTCATTTGAACCATTTTGAATAACTTTCAATTGTAATCGGTTTGGATTTATGGGATTGGCTGGAAATGATGCTTCTAGTTGGCATGCAATATTTTGATAGTCAGGAGACATACTGCCTGTTATAAGACTCACTGTCAATCTGTAACACAAAAGATAGTCATTATAAATACAATTTTATTTGTCACTAGCTGTTGCTTGCAATTTGTCCACATGAAATTAAATAATGTAGCATATGTTACTCAGCAATAACATAGCTTTCTAATGGTAAAAGAATTTTTGGAATCGTCCGAGTACTTATTGAGTTATTTCAATACATAAATAAATGCAAATCTTTCCTCTTTATAATATCAGTATAGATAAAATACATCACACATTTTGGCATTTAAATGCTTAATTTCTCTCCATTTTAAAGTTAATATCATAGGGCAATGCAGCTAAATTGGGTGTTATAGTAACCCACTTAAACAAGTAAGCAATACCATTCACAGAAAGTATTAAAATTGTAAATGTAAAAATATAAATGGTACTTACGTTTGTGGGTTATTGATCATGTTGCCAGCAACAGTGATCTGATCACCTGCACTCAATTGCTTTGGTAAAACAAACATGATTTCGTTTTTTAACTGGGTTACTGGCCAAGGGGGAGCTCTCTGACTGTTACCATTCATACGACTGCTAACATCCACTTCTTCATTTTCAACGCGAGACCTATAAATTCAATACGTTATAATTATTTAAGCAATTGCGTAACATATTCGCTAGAATAAATCATAAATTAAACCGTATAAATAAATATGTGAATCGGTATTCGTACGCTTTTTAACAATTAACTATTATAACCTAAAAAAGTACGTACCTGAAACATCTTTTATGGTGATATTAAAGGAACTTTCATTAATCATTTAACCCAAATTGCTTATATTATAAATAATATCTTTCAATGTAATTCACATTATGCGCTACACAATGTTGTTTTCAATAAATTGCAATAGTAAACAATAACTACGTCACTGTTAAATCCGAACTACGCTTGACATTGACATTTAAATTGACGTCTAGGAATTTTGTAATTTATGAAGCAAATAAAAAGAACCTATTACGACATATTGTAAATGTGAAGTTATTTTATTAATTTCGAAATAATTTATTATTTCATACCCAGCGATACATTCCAAACATGCTTTCAGCATCTTCGACTATTTCTGGATATAAATACGATTCCACGCGCAAAAAATACGCGGCTATTCAATCAAAGTCGTGATTGAAATGACCAAATCAAAGGTGCATTTTAGATGTATGATGACGTAACATAGAAAACAAACACTGTCACTACACAAACCTCCGGTTTAACGGCTAGCACGTCACTGCGCGTGTAGTTAGCTGCGAGACTTCAGTTTGAACTGCGGAGCAGATTGTTCATTCATACATACACTACTGTTATGTGGCTTTCGTTGCACTGCCACTGAGAAAACTTGTTCTTACACAGTATCGATAGTTCCGCGTTGAATTATATTGATACTATGTGTAAAAGAGGCGCTTGCGCCGGCGCTCTTACGCTTTTATTGATTGGTGGAATCCTAGCACTCGAGAAATTTCATAATCCTGTCGTTTACTTACATCAACAAACAATGTAGGTATTTTTATAACTGACTATAAGATAACACGGTTTCTTGAACAAAGACACAAGTGTTTTAAAAGATACACAGGAATTTTAAAAACGATATATCGCTGGGTACAGTTGATTGAATTTGACTTTAAAGCGCTTATAAACGGTTATTAAAATATAACTATAGGTTGTTAGGGTACCGCTGAGCTTATCTGGAGCCATCCACTTACAATGAATTTTGTTTGTTGAAAACCTTACTGACCAAATCTTTCCGTGTTTTTTAAAAAAAAACTTTTTTGTAGAATAACTTTATTAATATTCTCTATATGTAAATGGTAAACAAAAAATGAAAACAATATCTCCTTTCTGCAATAAATAACTCGTCTATTATTATGTCAGTGTTTATTACCGTTAACTGGAGAAACTTTACTGTGAACCATGTCTTGTGTTTTTGTTTCTCGTTTCGTACGGAATGAATTAACAAGTTCGACGAAGCGTGACATGAAAACAAACTAGCCTTGTGACAGAGGTTAAACACGTTGTATATGCAGGAATGGCTTGTTAAATCAATCGTGAAATAATAAAATTAGCATGTTTGTTGCTTTGTAATAAAACATAAACTACGCTTTTATTAAATGAATTAAAAAAAATAAATACAAAATAATAGCATGACGCGAATGTCTTAACTTATTCATGATAGAAACAGCAGATTTTCCAAAACTAAATTTATTTAGTACTTTCATGTTTTCTGTAATAAAAGCTGTGGATACAACTGTAATTGTAGGGTATAAAATAGTGCTGTATTTTTATATTTCAAGGCTTTTCAAAATGAGAACTTTACTATGCGGAGCCCATGTCACATAGCGATATATTCACTTCTATTATGACCATCAAATTCTTCTAACCCGTTTTACTAACCTAAAAAGATACAAAGATGGGTGCGTGGAATAACCAGATTTAGATACAATGTCAGGGTCATAAACATACAATTGTGTCGTATCTTATATTGTTAGGCGCCAATCTTAATTGCCTATACAAATATGTACAGTGCGTGAGTAACATGCGTTTTTTTAATTCTTTTTGTTTGTACTTTGTGAGTCATTTTCTATATTAGGTAAGGGTAAACTACTCATATTACATATAAAAAATGGCACCAGGTCGCTTTATACTACTTTTTTTTAGTTTGTACTCTTACTTAAATACGTATTTATATGAAATCCTAAAATGTCTGAATAAACTCAGTTTGGTTAAAGAGATTGTAGATTGTGTTTGTGGGGTTTATCCTCGTTTAATAAAATAAGATAGAAAGATCACGTGGTTCCTCAGCTACTTTCAACCATTCGTTAGTGTTTTTGTTTCGATAACTTCTTAGTTAGACTTAGTTTTAATCCGTTGAAACATAGGTTAACCTGACACTAATGAATCACTAGCTAAAGTAAATGAAAACTTCAGAAACCCAGCATTAGGTAATTAACCTTTTGTAGTTCAAATTGGCTATAATCATATACTTAAATATCGGATAATATAAATAAGAACATATACTTGATGTTAACTGATAATCACAGATAAGAAAATCTTATCAGATGTTATACTTTTATAATGTTATTAAATAATAAAATATAAAGTAAACGACTAAATTAAAGAGTCGATTTCCCATTTTGTATTGCAGTATTTTCCAGTAGCAAAATAAATTTGCTATATACTAACTACGTACTGCGACTGCGTGACACATAAATATTTATCCGTGGCAAGCTACAAATTTAACCTATAATTTAATATTTAATAAAAAAAATAACTAATAACGTTGTTTTAAATACGTTATTAGTATTTTTTTGTTATTAAGCGACATATTAAATCAAAGTAACAAAATGAAATAGAATAACAACGAAAGCAGATATGGTGTTAGATACGATATTTTTTATAGCTATCAGTCTAATATTAGAACTAAAATTCGCAATTAAAACTCGAGCTCACCAATGTAGTACAGTACAGTAATGATTGACAATATTAAATCAAAACACTAACTTTGAACACAGCGAAGAAAATTCTGATTGATGTGACACGTTCTGCACCAATTGTAATACTGACACATTGTTACTCTGTGTACAGCAAAGAAATTAAAATTGAAATATCCATAGTCCTGTATTAGTCATATTTAGCTTAAAGGAACCATTGACGTCACAATTACCTACCTTAATAATTAAAATACGTACATGGAATAAATTTTAGATATAAAATGAAGCATGATTCATTTAGTCTAACACTTTGCAATTCGTTTAGTAATCACTTGACTCGAATAAATAATCGATTTTGATACGGTTTATGAATGAAATGAATATAATTGTGGTACATTCAAACTAACAGATAAGATGGTTTATCTATTACTAACTACTGTCCGCGACTTCGTCCTAGTGAAAATAAAAAATAATAAAAATCACAGCCTATGTTACTCACTGACGATGCTTTCGAATGGTGAAATAAATTTTGAAATCGAAGAAAGTTTGAGTTATTTCAATACATACAAAAATACAAATCTTTTCTCTTCATAATATTAGTATAGATAATAGTGTCTATTATCTACTTACTTCTGAATAACGATATACTTGTCCATTTTACCTTCTTTGTATAGTTAATTTAATATTACACTTATGTTTAATATTTTAACGCTAAATAGTAGAATATGGTCATTTGAAGTCTACCTCGGTATTTATAGACAAAAAGTTTGTTTAAACATCCACAACAGATTAGCAAAAAAGGGAAAATGCATGAGATAACGCTAGCTTAAATCGTTTGTTTGCAAACTTTAACTGTGCAAGCCCTTTTAAGAGACACCCTTGTACTTTTACGTTAAATTCTAAGTACCAATTCAAGGTTCTGTAATTGGAAAAAATTGAACAGTTCAATGTATAGAGATGCTATAAAAATAGTAAGTTTAAAAATTACCAAGTACTTTACCATCGAAAAAGTAAAATCAATCACGTAAAATATCACAGGCTAAGTAAGAAAATCTATAATAATAATAAATCGTTGAAATATAAGAACTTCACAAGACAAGAAAACTAGCGAAAATCTAACGTATGTGTGGTAAAGAATTCTTCATTAAATAGCTGCTAATTTAACTGATCAAACACTCAATGCAAATATGCGAAGGAATGTACACTGAGGTTACTAAGTTAGTACAAACAATGTTTTCTAACGTAAGATGATCTGTTTAATATGGATGACTTTAGTGCTTGGTTAGATATGGAGCAAACTTAAAATGGTTAGTCAAAAATGTTGACAAAATAAATTGTTGGATTTGACATAGGAAATATTCTTTATGTATGTATTAATATTCTACGATCACCATAAATAACTTAATAAAACTGATATACATATTAAGAAATAGCAGATATTGTCCTTGGACACAAATTTTATGTTTGGAACGTCTGTTGGTTTATGGAATATTAAATTTTTATTAAATTTTAGAAAAAACCTAAAAACCCGTAAACGATTTGTAAGGTTATTGTCATCTTCCTTGTTTTATCACTGCTTAGATGTCTTTTTCCTCTTATTGGTTTACTATCAACTATTGCTTGTTTCAGGCGAGTCCAATGTTTATACCCTGGGTACGATCGGCATGCACCGCGTGGTAACCACAAAGCTGCCATCAGTTGGCCGAACCAGGGAAGCTATGACCGCGGCTGGTAACACCACGACAAGATTACTCGGGATATTCCAGAAGGTATACTGTTAAAGAATATGTAGATAGCACGTAAATAAGACATGACAAGATACAGATCTAGTTGGAGCGTCCATTAACAATTCACCGAAATGGCTAGCAAATAAACTTCTTCGTTTTTACTTTGTGAATACGTTTTATTGTGTAGTGGGCGAAATCAAACGTTCATAGCCTTCTATTACTTTTTTATTTTGTAATAAAGCTATTTATGTTTTTAATGCCTTTATACTATACAGGTATGTTAACGAAAGGTTCACTGTATGATTTGACTACATTTATAAAAGTAAAAAAAACGATGAAAGAAAAGACGATCAACACTCCAAGTCTTTGGTTGCTATGAGATGATTTTTAACAGCAACACTATGAAAAACCTAAATTATGGCAATTGCATGTTGTTTAGTTAAGTATATAAATATGATATAACGGTACATGTACAACGTAAACTCCATACCGTTGCATATGATGTCATACATTTAAAATTCTACTTGTTGGTTATCACGATGTTATCCGTGCTATTTATATAGATTTTCTGCTCTGGCCACTTATATCATCAGTATTTATACACTTGTATCTTTTGTATATCCCCCTCGATTTCCGATTGAATCACTAAAGATGACTTCTAAACGGAAGACTGTTTATCTTTGAATAGCTGGTAAAGCTAAGTGTCTAAACGTAGTCTAGACGGAGACAAGCTGGAGAAAAATATTCTACTGGACTGAAACCGTCAATAATCCGAAATGTTTTTTTTATAATGTACTATTATTTGAATAATATAAGAGTCAGTTCTACCAAACTCTTGAAATTGATATATAATAATTCAACATGTAAACTTTTGTTTATCTAACTGTGACGCCATTTTTAAGCTATCTGAGCCTCTATCAGCCAGTGGTGGGACAGGCCCTAAGAATACTATCAATAGTTCAGAGCTTACAAGGTCAAACATTTGATTATTAAATTATAGAGTTACGATGGGTGATAATATTTACGTGGATAAGTATTGTTATATTCAAAATGAGACCTCTTTTATTGTATTTACAAAAAAAAATTGAGAAACAATACGGTTTTTTAATTAGATGTTGATGAATAGTAGACAATCTTAGAAGGTCGTGAATCAACTCTTGTGATTTAGGTGACCGTGTGAAACTTAACAATGTAACGCGGTTATTGTAACTAAATATTCATTCGAGTATCAATATATTTATTTTCAGACTAAATGACTATTGCTCCAGAGTATGCGTGTCTGGAATTTTATGATGTCATTAAATTCCGTAATCTCGACTTCAATAAATAAAGTTATAGATGAAAATGAGGGTTATAAGTCTTGGGAATATAATTTTATCTGAAGAGTTAAATGTAATTTTAAATTCATGACCCCATGCAAGAAGATAACGGTTTCGGTGGTCCCATATTTGGGCTACCAATTTTTTAAACTCCCGATGATGCCCTTAAATCTTTATATGATTTTCGTTAAAATATTTCTTAAGCGTTCATATATTTTTACAGATTTAAATCAAAATTTAGAGAATTCTTGCATACTGTTATTTTAGATGTATTATGTTCGTAATCCTTGTGGTTAGGTTTTTCGACTGACTGCAATTGTTATAAATAATTTTATATTATAAATTTCCTAACCTATGTGACGGTATGAAGAGCCGTATTCATTACGGATTTTGTTACCTATGTTAAACGTAATACGAGTCAGTCTATGCAGTTTCGTAACTACATTGTTGCGGTCTGTCGGACTGTACTCAGAATGACGTCATCTAAGGTTTTTCTAATGCTTAAAATTATTATGCAGATGACGGAGTTTCAAATTTATGCAGGGTTTCACGTCACGTCAAGCGATTTGATTGACTTTTAGTATCTGATAATTTTGTAATGTAATATTCTTAATAATCTGTAATATTTCTTTCTCAATGAGGAATGAGCACAGATACAAACTTATTCTTGAATGAATTCGGGACACATTAAAACGTATATGTACTTGTGTCTATGAACACTAGCGCATATGTTAACACTTGTGTCCAATTTATCTAAATATTTTCGCTTCAACACAACTAAGATGTATTACAACTGTCTAGAGTCCGGCAGTAAAAAGTAAAGCAATGTAAATCAAACATAATTAAAACATTCATTCAAACAAACCATTTTGTATTTTTTACGACTCGGTTTCAATAAATCAGTCAGAATTAAATATGGCCGTATAAAGTGCCTGAGATGATTTGGACGGCAGTGAAGACACGCTCTTGACCCCGTTTTATTTCATCCGCACAACGCCGCTATGGTAATTTTATTACATTCTTAGGTCTGGGATACACTAGCGCCTATTTTTAAAAGTGACTTAATGTACAATTTAATAAATAAAATTCTTGAACACTTCAATATAGACGGTGATTGTGGTTACGTTTCTTTCTTCTTTTTGGATGTATTTCCATTCGATAGTCCTTTATCAACTCTTTAACTAGGAAGCTACGAATGAAAGAAATATAGTATAGGCCGTGACCAAACGTTTACACTTTACATATTAGCCCTGGCACTCGAAATATGCTAATTCGATATGAGCCGGGTTAAAATAGCCGTGCGTTATCGAATGCCAAAGATACGCTCGCTCTCTGCATAATTTAAATGGAATGTATTGCAATTGGGAATTTATATTTAAAAAATAATTCATCTTCAAACATTTATACGAGAATGATTTACGGTCTCCTTTTGCCGTTCGTGTACTCTGCCGATGTTAAACGATGTAACCGCAAATTAGACAATTATGAAGCATTTAACGACTTTAAACATTTATTTTCTATCAGAGGTTGCGTTTTATTATTATAGCTGCTTATAATACAGTTTAGTTAATTACAATGATTTATTTAATTAACAATTAACGTTTTACAGTGTTTGATTTATTCTTATATGTCTTTTTTCGTGGATTTCTTTATAATTTTACTGGTTTTAATAAATCTGTTACATTTCTTCTTCAAATAAAATTACTTATCTACCATTGTGCATCTCTATGGACCCCAAAAGTGCACCTAGGCTTTTGGGAATCCCTTTCCTAGCGCATACTTTTGTTTTATATGTACATCTCGGAACTTTCTATAATTTCAGGTAGAATATGTATTCCTGGTAGGCGTGGGCGGCGGCGTGCCGCACTACACGGACTACTCGCGCCACGTGCGCCTCGGTGACGTCGTCGTCTCCACGCCGGCGACAGATTTGAATGAGAAGTACGTATCGATTTATGACACCTTGGTACAAAGTCTAACAGCTCGCGCACAACTTTGACTGGACTATCACACAATTGTTTAGTCTTGCGTTGATTTCTATAACGCGATATTTAGTTGTGCAAATAAACAGTTGAATTGGTTGCGAAACAATCGACAATCGCGCAATAGTCCTGCGATAGTTTAATCAAAGGTATGCGCCCACTCTTAACCTAGTTTCGTTTTGTTTTATAGTTAAATATTTTATATATTAAATATAAGAATTAAGTCACAAGTCAAAAGACATCGAACGTTTTTGTAATCTAATATGGATTAAATTTATAACACGATTTATTCTGCTGTGGAAATAAAGTCAGCAATATCGATATATTACTAACTATAAATTGACTTGCCATTGTTCCTAATCTCGCTTACATGTGTATCCGATTTGTGGCCTCGCAGCCGTTTTCGTAATCACAACTGTTTGGTAATTTTCTTTATATGGTCACTTCTTTATTACTAAAGACTCACATTTTGAATCCAGTAAGTAATTCTGCAACTTTGGTATATGTTCTGTTATTCTAACGTTAGTCTTGTCTAGTTTAATATCTTTTATTCTCTCTCAATCAAATTTTATCCTACCTCTTATCTTAGTCTTGAGATTTTATAGCATTAAAAATCGAAATTACAAATCTAAAATTAGATATTGTATAGCTATGCAAAGTTATTAAATGCAAGCTGTTGCTCTCGACTTCGTCCGCGTGGATTTAAAATAGTAAAAAGTAGCCTATATTACTCAGTGGTTACATAGCTTTTTAATAGTGCAAGAATTTTTATATTCAGTTCAGTAGTTTTTGAGCTAATTGACTACAAACAAAAATACAAATCTTTCCTCTTTATAATGTTAATATAGATTAAGTATGATATTGTTTAAAAATCTGACCTCAGAGTCAATACGTTCGATGAATTAAATTGTCAATAATTGGTTTGAACTCGCACGACTGCAGTAATAAAATTTAGTGATACATGACTTCATTATTAGAACACCAATTTTGTCTAAAAATGCCGTAATCACAAAGTATTTTGCATTTAAAAAGATGCTATCATAAGTTTAAAATATTTTTCTTAATAACTTAATCTGAACTTTAATGTAAGCATTAGTAGCAAAAAAAAAATTATAAAAATGGAATTTAATTTTGTCGATGACTATGATCCTAATTTTTTCTATAAACTTTTTTTATATGATTTTATAGTATAATTATTAACATTAGCGCAATAAACTATATCATTTGAATTAAGTAAAATTAGATAGATAAGTACTTTTTTAATATATTACAGGTATGTCTACATATTCTGCGAGAAGGCTGAACGTAATGACAAAGGCGGGTGGGACTACGAAGTGAAACCGTACAAGCCTGCTAACTTCTTATTACAAGACATCGCGCTGCGACTCTTGAAGACTGAAGATTCTTGGAGCTTGTATGTTAACGAAGGTAAGCTACATAAAATGTATTATACATATTAAAAAATAAGACGTTTAATTTGTATGGCAGTGCGAAAATAAGCTACCTTTTAGTCAAAATCTCATCAAAATCCGTCCACCCATTCCAGAGATAGCGACCCGGTAGCCATTTTGTTAGCGTGGAATTTAAAAAAGTAACCTATAATATACCCTTTTATGTCAGCTAACCTTCAGTCTCATCAAAATCGACTCAGCTACAAACGGGACTTGCCGATAGACAGAGACAATTTTATTCAAATGCTATTTTGGTTATCAACAAAGCAAATCATACTAATATTATAAATGTGAATGTTTGAATGGATGGAGGTTTGTAACAGTTTGTAGCCTAAACTGCTGAACGGATCCGG